GAGCGAGAGAGAGGAGAACACAAACTGTAAAGAACCATGAGTATAAAAAGTTAAGAGGAAGAAGTGACGAGAAAAGAATAAGGATGAATATGGAGATGATAGTCTTGGCGTATTCACAAGGAATTGAACCAACAAACTGCTACACACATGCTGTCACCCCTAACTGTTAGAACAAATGACTGGCCCCCAAACATGTGCGAATACACAAGAGAAAATAGTGACCCCCACAGAAGTATTAACTGGCCCTACATAAGTGCCTCTTATGTTTCTACATGAGAATGACAGGTAGAAACTATTGTTCCATGTAGATGCTACAAACTACTCACAAAACCATATTTTCCCTAGTTCCATAAATCATCCAAAAATTAATGAAAGCCCTAAGAAAATGATCATAAACTAGAGTAGTTCCATAAAAAATGCCATGTTTTGCTGATTAATGAAAATTTCTGCAAACACTACCAATCCATCATAGTAGGGTTCAGAGCTTCATGGGCAGACCAATCCAATGTTACTAAACTAACAATACCCAGAACTCTTACTCGCTAGGGACCCTCTAATCAACTAAGCAATGGCAATGAAAAATAAGGCAAACACTTGTCCCCTTTTCTTCACTAAAACAAAATCTATTTAGCATCTGGAAATGTCATAAACCAATAACATTGCAGTATAAACCCACACCCTCTAACCCACTAAATTGTCCATATGAACCCCATATCCTCTGTTTCAAAGAAGTGCAAAATCATAAAAGTCATAAGAAGCATTAGAACAAGACAGAGATTCTAATGGTAGAAATTTCTAGAGCTTTAAATTTCATAACTAGAAACAGATATGGATTTTCATGGGAGAAATTTTTTGTACGAGAACCACATCTTCCTTTAACACAATAATTTGCACACAAAATGGAAAAATAATTGCATGCTATGAAGCTCACTGTGGAGAGAGAGAGAGAGAGAGAGAGAGAACCGCATGGTGGCGCGTGTGTGTGTGAGCGAGATCCACCACGAGGGGAGAGACCTTTAGGCTGCCCCAAATTGAGAGAAAGAGAGAGACCACTTGGGGCTGCCCCAATTTGGAAGAGAGAGACCCCTTGGGCCAGTGCCTTAACCGAGAGATAGAGAGAGAGAAAGAACCAAAGCAGGGAGAGAACCAGAGAGATAGAGAGCCCCTTGGGCTTACCCCAAATTGAGAGAGAGAGAGAGAACCAGGGCAGAGAAAGAACCAGAGAGAGAGGGCTAGTCCCCTAATAGCGAGAGAGAGAGAGAGACAGAGACAGAGACAGAGAGAGAACCAGAGACGATAGAGAGAGAGAGATCTAGAGGCGTGAGAGATAGAGGGCCAATGCCCTA